GCAGTGAGTCGCTATAGAAGCAAAGTAGAGCTCATCTCCTCGTCTTTAACGAAAGCCTAGGTCTGGTGTGGCCCTCGATTGCTTCAGTCGCCCTAGCTAGCTAAGGCCGATGAGAGTGTACACAGGCCTCGCTGGCTGCGAGATGTCAGCGGAGGGTGGTGAGGGCGGCCCTGTTTAGGGCGGGAGCGCGAGCACGAAGAGCTGCTGCTGCTGCTGCTGCTGGCTAGTAGCTGCTACGACCGATGGCGCAGCAGAGGGTCATTATGCCCTCCAAGATTGTCTGCCGCTTGGTTTTGGGCTGCTTTCTTTGGTGGCCAGGACAGGATCGGATGAACATGGATGAAGCCGTTGCTTCTTAGCCGCTGAAAGCGCCGTCCAACCGACGCTGACCAGCGGCTGTGTGCTGGCGGCCACCGATGCGAGTCGGTGATCCAACGAATCAACCAAACTAAGCAATCCGTAGTTATCAGCCATTGTCCAGTGGTAGAAGTGAACGATCCAAAACGGTAGCGATCAAAATCTCATTTCCTAAAGCGCTACTGTCTCCTGCTCTGCTTGAAGACAGACAGACAGCCAGCCAGCCAGGCAATGGGACCGAAAGGACGCTGTTCGAGAAAGTGGATAAGACAGAGCTGGATCAAATTGCCGCTGCGGCTTATCGTCCGGGATAAGCTGGAGACTGCTCAAAAAAGCAAGAGAATGAGGGACGCGAAGAACTTATGACGCCACTGCTCTCTGAACAAAAACGGACGGCTAACAAAACGATATAGTGTCACAGGCGATGGCGGTTTTAAGAGCGGGCCAGCTTGTTTTTCTGACACAGAAAACGATGAGGACCAGAAACGGCAGGGGGGAACGTGTTACAGACGCAAACCGGGTGGAAAAACAGTGTACAATTAGGTGTCTGTGTATCGATATGTGTGCGACATCGATACGGAAAGGCGATTTGCCATACGTTACAAACACAAAGTTACGAACACGACTGAACGATGTGCTGATGTTAAGGATGCAGCAGCTTTTATACAAAGTATTCTCCTGAATTGCACTCCTTTTGAGAATAAGGCAGCCTGCTATAGGTACATTAGGATATCGCGCAGGCTTATCCTGATAATTATGCCTATATCTGTGAAGTATAATGCTTTCTTCACAAGCACATCCTTAGTGCGAAAACATATCGGTAATATTAATACGTAGCTGAACAATTATTCGGTGCTTCTGGCCAGATCGATCTTTTACATTTAAAATAGTTGCTACAGTAACTTTTCGTGGCAATTAGAAAGTACATCAAAATGATCTTGTACATACAGTGGGCATACTCGTTTTCTACCCAAAACCGGTCTGCATCCTCAAGCACTCTATATGGTGTATTACTGATTCCACATAAAGGTTCTTTACGGGTGCCTTCCAGTTATTATTATTTTTTTTTCGTTTTATCGTGTCACTATCACAGTTTTTAAACGATTCTTCTCCCAATATAAGGCCACTCTGTGTCCTAACGACGCTACCGGATGCATATGTTAACACATGTAGCACATGAATCCTAATGATACGTTAGCAGTAGCAACCATCATAATTGATTATTGATTTGCATGTAAAGTACGACGATGGAACGACAGACGGGTTTAGAACTCGCTAATAAAAGTCACATGCAGACCAGCTCCCTCTCTTTCGTCCTTTCCCGGCACCCAGCGAACGTTCCTTTCTTTGCTCCTCCCGTTGCTTCAATAGAACGGACAATCTGTTGTTTCGCTGCATCGGCCAGCCGGTAAAACTCATTTGTTTTATTCACCCATAGCCAGCACGCTCGAAGATACGTCCAGCCGTGGGGTGTGAGGCAATGCTTCATCCAGCGAGCCTACGTGACTCCCTCGTTCCGGACACCATTGAAGCTAAAAAATTCAAGCATGTTAACGACGTTCGTTTTGCTTTGATTACAGATGATATGGTTAGATAAGGCAATGCGAAGCGTGGCCGATCAGTGCTCATCGACGGAGCTACGGATGATACCACAACTACCGAATGCCCCTTATGTAGACATAAACCTTTTTCTTATCTCCCTCTATTTATTTTTAGCCTGCGATACCAGAGCGGCGTGGAGAAACTGGCCAAACGATTCAAGGCTGTACAGATTAAATAGATTGGAGAGAAAATGAACAAGTAACACGGAAAGCGAGAGACGAGCAAAATAGAGAGGTAGGACTGAAACAGCGGATCCAAGCGATAAGCTTCGGATCAGACTATCCTCAAGGGGAGAAAATACATTCAGCAGGGTGAAAATAGATGAGAGAGAAGGAGAGAGACGAATTTAATCATAGAACGCTAGCTACACGACCCAGTGAAAGCAGTATCCCGTTGCTGCTGCCGCCATTTCGCTCTGCCTACTCCATAGTTTTTCTCGTGTTTTTATCTTGCTGTGGTCCTCGGCGGTTGCTTTAATTTCTGTGTTGGAAACTTCTCAAAAATTGGTCCAGCGCAGAGAGATGCGGTACCAAAACGCAAGGTGGCTGGCTGGCTGACTGACTAACTGCCAGTGGCTTTCGTACAACCCAGCCGTGGGCCGTAGCGACCTCAACGATGACGACCGGCTCTACAAAGAACTACAGGGGCCAGGGCTCTTTGGGTAAAGACAAGCGAGGAAGATGGCGGCCAAATTGACTGTGAACAACTTTAGTGTTCGTCCCCCCAGTTTCTCTACCCCTTCCCCTTTTTCCCAGCATCCCTTCCCGACTCTCCCCCATCTTGCTTCGGAGGTCCCTTGAAGCAAGATGGAAGATGGAGCCTCGAAGCGCAGCAGTCACCATCTTGCCTTGACTCGTCGCTGTTGTCGTCACGGTGGTTCTACCCCAGATCATACGAAGCCAGTACTTCCCTAATGCTATGTAGTAAATGCTCTCGAACCATAGCAGCATAGAGTAGTATCCAATAGCTTCTTCTAATACTCCAACGGCAACTTGGTCCCCTGTAACGCTCGTTCTACTATCGTTGTAGTTCAAGCGGCCGAGCCCCCACAAAGTCAGCCCCCACTCATCTGCCCTGCTTGTCGCGCTATCTCGCGTTGGCTGTTCCTACGGCTACTACATCTTGATGTATGGTGCTACAAAAGGGACCACCAGGATCCAAACCGGGGGGTGCACACTGGGGTTGAAAGGAAGCGAACCAAAAGAGAACCGCGAGGGCGATGATCTTATTAGGAGGTGATAAATACATTCCCCCGCGCACCCGCGCGCCCGGCTACACGGGCACACACACACACACAAAAGAATCGAGACTGTTGGGTAGGGTGTCGGCTGGCAGTCTTCGCACGCCAGACATTCACTTGTGACACAATAGAATGAACATAGTTGCAATTTAGCAAGTTACTATGACACATTCATTTCCTCATAGGATTGTAATATGCTGCGGCGTTAATTCGCCATTGATGCCCTACATCGTTGTCGGTGATTATGACGACAAAACGCGGGAGGCAACGTAGCAACGAAATGCATATAATAGATCTTCTATACATAATTAAAGCGACTGTTTTCGTCTAAATCGCTTGCGATCTAAGCGTTTGACTCTAGAGCCAAACGCTGATGATCATCGCATTGCCAATGCCTCGGCAGGCAGTAGGCTTCCACACCCAAATCAGCGTCGTCTATGGGGACCTGGGGAACTATTACTAGGTTGAATATATTTATAGCAGCTAGTGTGTAAAGCAAAATGTTCACTTTACTACATTTATCAGGACTAAATTAAGACAATGAATCTCATTTTAGTTGTTCTAGTTAACTGGTTGGTTGGTTGGTTGGTGGCATTTTTTTCTACCGCTCAAGACGAGATTGCCGGCCATAAATATACCTTATAGATATTTGCTGAGCCGTATTTCTAAGTTATAAGTAGTTTGAGAGACTTGTACAGGAAGGACAAACGTAACATGCCCAATTGGATTCTACATATTAATTTCCACTCGTTGGAGCACATAGCGAATTGTTGCATCTAGATCGTTTGTTCGGTAAGGTCGACCGTCCCTTCAGCACACGAATTTTTTCACAGGGAACTACGGGAGATGTCCAAAATTGAGCCATGTTTGTTGGCTCTGACGAATGCGAGAACCAAGAAACAACGACAGCCTTTGCGTGTATAGGCGCCACGGGTTTTTTTCCATTACTTTTTCTCCCAATGTGGGCTGTACTCATAGATGATTTGCACGACCGCTTGTTTAGAAGTCACTTTCGTAAGTGAAGCAAACGGATGTTGATGGCAATTTACACGCTTCGTCAAACATCCGACGCGGTCACATATTTACGAAAACACCGGATCCGTAGAGAACATGACGAGCGCTGCAGATAAAATATGCTCTGTGCCGCTCATATAAGAAATATGAGTTAAAAATTGGCATAAGGAATTGGAACATTAAGCTAAAAAGGGAGAGGCACTCGACTATTATAATAACGGGGTACAATTGATTCGTTCAAACAGGCAAACGTACGGAGATTGACTCAGTGTGCCATACTGACGATACACGGATAGATCAGGCTTCTGAACTAGCAATGTCGGCATTGAAGAACTGATCATAACGCACAATAACGATGCCCGTAATCCAAATCTGGAAATATTTCACTGATATTAAACCACGATAAACGTTCACGGTAGTCGCTTCTATAAGATCCGCTGAAATGAACAATGTAGTCTTTGCTAACCGAAGAGTAGCTCGATGCCTAGAACGTACGTAAAGCCGTCACATAACGCGTGACTCCGAACATTCGAGACTCTAACTGAAAACAATTATAGACTACGTTCTCACCGCAGTCCAAAGATCCACTTACGGACGTCATCGGAAACGCAAATGTACTATGAGAGATACATTCTAGCATATATATATACATAAATATCTATATGCATACATATATATCTGTATAGGTATGCTAGAATGGCTGTAGCCGTTTTGTGTCATACGACGGCGTGCCATAGTTCTAGTATAATTAGATGCGATATTTCATAGTTAAGAGACAAGGACTCACCTTTACTTGGCTTTCACTCATGCCTAATGCGTAAGCGAGCTTGGCCCTTTCAGGACCAGCGAGATACTTTGTCTGTTCAAACGTCTTCTCGAGGACATATATTTGATGTCCAGAAAAGGTTGGTCTGGTGTGTTTTTTCGAAGCAGCACCGCCGAGGTGAGCGCCCGTCCCTGGCCCATTGCGACTGCCTGGCCCCGGCGATCCACAGCTACCCCCATGGCTTCCTCCCCCTCCAAGCGCTGAGCTTACTGCAATCGAAGGACAAAATAATCCGAGTAAGCGAAGTTCGCACCTGGTTGCTCCGCATCGTAACTATGAACCCTACTACTGATAAAAAAAACCTTGGCGATAGAATCACGTTTAGCTGAATACGTTTATTCACTGTGATTCAACATAATCTAACAGCTGCAAATATTAAGATTGATAATCATTAATATTACGCGGAGCAAAAAGCTACTCGAGTAGCGTCACTCGGTTTGCTATTATATTTTCTAAGTGTGACCAATATAGAAGTAATCAACCGATCATTCCATCAGCGTTAGGAGGCGCACTTAATAGCTACTATAAAACAATGGCTATACTAGAGATGAACAGGAAAACATTTCTATACGCTGGTACACCCGGCGCCACCCCTCTTTGCAAAGGTAAACACGACAAAAACGTGTTATTTCTGTTTTGAGAATAGTTACTATGTAATACAATGTGTATTTAGCTCTAGTGCAATATTTACATTTACATTGTGTCTAGTTAGCTTATATCAAGTCTCTGCAGTCTTTAACGCGGGACATTTTCCAGGCAACGGACGATAGGATAGGCTGCAATCCGTCCATGTAGAATCGTAAGCTACAGTATAATACAAATGCCTCCGCGCAGTCCTATTTGATCTGCCATTAGCTGACTTGGAAAGTGAAATCGAGCAAAGAAATATGTCCGCACTATCAGTGTTTGCCGCGTGTAAATTACTGATCTCCGATCTCTCCGTCATACCTTTACAGGTCACAATTAATAGTAATAATCCGTAGTGCTTTGAAATAATAACAAACGATAGCAGCCGTGCGTAAGGTCGCGGAAAAGGAAAACGGTGGGCCACCGTCGTCGCCTTGCCCGTTTCCATTCTCAAATAAGAGAAACATCATTACGTTTACCATTAGAAGTTCCTTTTGTAGCGTATTTTTTAATGTTTCCTTAGATGCCAGCCATACGAGATATCAATACAAAAAGCAGTCGCCATTGACTACTATTGTCCTAAGAGCGCAACTGGAGGCAATACTCAAACGCTGTTTCTGTACTACCCTTTAAGCTCACAAATAACGTAGACTGCAATTGCACTATTGAGACAGAGCAATCGCGTATTTCCAATGACCTACCTAGGGGAAAATGAAAGACCGCCTCATAACGTCACCTGTAAACAAGGCTATCATTTACTACTAATGCTAAATGATCATATATAGGCATCCACCGACAGGTCACTTTACAGCTATTTCAGCAGCCGCCAACGAGCTTGATCTTCTACAATGCACTGCGACCTATGCAGCTAAAACTAAAGCAGGCCGTACAACAGGCCGAACAGAAGGTTAGATTTCCCCTGGCGACCCAATTCTTTTACCACCTACAGGTCTAACTGATGTGTGGCGCGATTCTGTGTCGGTTTGTGATTTGGATCAGTTTTTTGTTGTTGACGAGACAGTGATTGAATTTCGGTCTAACCTAAAGATAGCCTATGATATTTCTTTTCTTATGATGGTTCTTGCTTGCTTAATAGGCTAGCTGAGTGCGGTTTATTGTAATGAGATCTTCACATGGTCAAAATGATACCACTGTACAGGTATTAGCTTAAATCACTTAGTCAAAGTTTCTATTTCTATCCTGTTTTCAGATACCAGACAGCTCGTGATCATTAAGTACGTCTGCTCTGCTGCCGTCAACGAGGATACATATCCGTCGACCTTGACAAAAAATCTTTTCCCTTTTTGTCATGTCTAGAATGTCTAATTTTCAATGTAGCTATCTAATCATTGACGAGCGTTCTACATGAGCTACCTAGGGTGCATTCGTCCGGCCATCACTGACATTAACAACGCAGCTGGCGATTCTACCGTGAGACCTTTATGAAATTGTGCCAGTAGTATCCATTCGCGTCATGCTCTTGTGTGATTTCCTGCTCGATATTGAGACGCGGACCTACTGCGAAAATGCCCGCCAACGTTTTCGTATGACCGCCAACATGCTGCCTTTGGTAGCGACATCTATTTGCTTCGCCTCCCCGCCATGTTGCTCAGCGTAGAGGAAGGCAGGCTTGCTTACCTCCATACAGCTATACCTCTGCATCTCGTTTTCTGTCGTTATGGTAAGCTCACTTGACCAGTAGCAGAAGCATTGGCAGAAACTAATATTCGTAACCTTCAATCGTCCGTGTCGTGTATACGCACGCCTGCTAAATTTGTTACCTTACCTCGATTTTGACAGCCTCCCCCAGGCGACCACGCCAGCAACTCGCTGGCACCAGCTTGGCCACTCGTAAAGAACAAGCTCCATCTAGTGTTCGTTGCTGCTGTCGCCGCTACCGCCACAACCGCTTCCGCTTACAACGCCGCCCAATGTCGTTGTCGTCTCTCTTTGCGTTGGCCTCCACTGCCCCACTCGGCCGGCCGGCCGACCGGCCGGTAACTCGTTGTCCCGAGTTCTGGCTTCTGCGCTGCTACCTGCATCTCACTACGACGACAGCAGCCGCGCCTACGTGGTATCGACAAGTTGCGGGTGTGTCAAACTAACAGCTGAATCCGCTATTATCATAGTCTCAACCTACAGCATGCGGAAAACAGGGGTAGATTATACAGGTCCCCTATTATTGATGTACATACCGAGCTGCCACCATGTCCTATAATTCTATGTGTCGTACATTCGCCTCTTTACAGCACTAGGTGAGTTCTGTGTGACCAGTTTGTTCTGAAGGTTGGACCCCCATTCTCGAGACACAGGGCAAGCACATTTGTCGTATTTAGCGCATAACGTGGCAGGAAACAAGGCTGTCTGAGAGTTCTAACTCGCCTCGAACAAATGTAAAATCGGTGTTGTCCACAGCGGCCTTAGCATTGGTGCACTATTAACACTTGCTGCCTTCCTTTTCTGTGGCTGCTAGTGGTCTACGGCGGCGCTAGTGGGATGTGGGGAAGCAGCCCTCTCTAGCGAAGGTTGAGAAAGGTGTGGACAGGAAAATGGGTTTGAGTTCGGTGACATTTATGTGTTGCGAACCGCAGGAGAGAAAAATGTTCGCCGGGTAGAGAAAAGTGAGCTGCACGATGCCGGCTGTGCCATCTACGGGTGAACGAGCGTGTGCCAGGAGGCTGACGTTCGAATGGTGGCTATATGCTACAAGTCTGACGAGGTGTGCTACACATCGCCTGTAAAATAGGACATGGCTCCATTGTGTGGTTGCTCAGATCGTGTTCTTACTGCAGACGACGGCGACGACGACGACGACGACGATGATGGTGGTAATGATGATGACAACGATGGAAGGACGCGAAACTGCGGATAGCAGCCGACGGAACACCTGAGCGAGCCATAACAATGTCATATGGGTCATAAGAAAAGGAGCATAGCACATGTGATGGCGCGCCAATCGTCTGAATAGAGGGAAAAGGCGCTAAATACTCTCTAACGAGTGATCAGGACAAAAAAGTCATGACGAAACATGATAGAGGAGGCCGAACGAAGTTGCAGGCTTCACACTATCAGTCATAACCATTGAAATGTTGGCTATACAGGCAAATAATACTAATATAAAAGTACATCTCCGTACATCATGGAAATCCGGGTACAATTTTGAATTTTTGTCTGTAACTAAACGTTAGGTTAAGCAATAGTTTATTCTAAAAACATGTGATTATTATGCCAAAAGATCACTAATGTCCAAATGGAGGGGTGTTTTACTTTTATGTGTTAGTTCGTTTTGGGAAAAGGCCTCGATTTCCAAGAAGATTTTCCAGAAAAATCTGCTCCCACCGACATTTTGCATCTGTATACGTGGGCCTGGATTTAAGTTGTCAGCAATATTGAGTCTGTGAGGCACTTCCTTTCGTAAATCATCTTCAACTTTTAGGAGAAGCACGAAAAAAGAGCAGATCAACTATTTTCTAGGTTATTATTAATTGGTTATTACAATATTCAGGTAACAGAAAAGTCATCACAAATAGTTTGGGCTGTGACGACTTATTTTTACACCAAGCGTTGCCAAAGGCAATGACATCTCGAACTGATTACACATTTTGTGTATTACATTGCATCGAATAACACGGTTTATTGCCGATCATTGCAGTGACTGTTGATTGAAATCATCAATCTCTGATCTGTTGCAGGTCCAACAGAGATTCACAATCTTTCAAACGATCAAGGCGACATAGGTCCTATTAGTGTCACAATCAAGAAATCTATTTAACTGTATCAAACGTGTTACTCCGACATTTATCTACCGCGTGCATTGTCGCATAGAAATCCGCCAATATACGTTACTCGCTCACCAACTCGGATCTATGCGCGGAACCTCGTTCCATCCATCCATCCATCCATCCATCGGGTAAAATTCTCAATGATCTGACATCCTTGAGTGATTGCTTCTACTGCAGTGATCGTTGCCCAATAGATCAAAAGATCTCTATTTTTATAATGCAGGTAGTGGTCAAGTATCGGTTGTGGCCAGATGGCCTATCGCAACGTAAACCTCCTTTTCGTGGATATCTCTGGCAAAAGCTGCTGTCGTCAGCAGTAGTTGGTCTATAACATGTACGTACTATCCACGATGACACAATGTTAATACTTAGTTTTTACATTCTACTACGATTTCACTATGCAAGCGAGAGCAAAAGATTATACGCTGTAGAAAATAGTAATGATATGACTAATTTGTACTAGAGAGGTGACAGGTAGAAGCCACAAAAAAGAGCGTCCTATCTTCCGAAGCCAAGTAAAGGCTTTCGTTGAAACAGATTGAAACTCTGCCTTTATAGAGCTTTTAGTCTCTTTCATTACATGATGAATCATCTAACGATATTAGGATTAAAATAGATCAGCTATTATATCCATTGTCTGCTGTTTGGAATAGCGGGAATAGCGATACATATATGGTTTTTTTAAGTATTTTTGCTCGATTATGGCACCATGGATTAATGGCCGATGCAATGGAACGGGGGAGCCTGTGTATACAGGTTTCAGCTGAGCCAATTCTATCCATAGAACCGTCAAGTTTCGAAGATAAAAGGTAATTCGGTGTACCGTACACTTCTATGAAAGCTAACGTAACCAGTGCATATATGTATGCGGCACAGTAGCGTGTGGTAACTATGGGGCGTTATAACAACGGTTCAAGTAGGGAAATAACTACCTAGATATTTGTCTGTTTTTCTGAGTAATAAACGGTACATAATGAATGACAGTCACACCTCGCAAAGTGTTTTAAATTTTAATATTTCGTATATATTCTGTTCGTAAGTCGATCAAGGTTAGCGATTGTGAAGAGACCGAAGAAGTGACGCTTACTTCAAAGTCCGCGAAAATTTCCCAAATTGATTCCGACGCAGATATTCTATATATGATTTTTTAGTATTTCATCGTCTCTAGTATAAGCGAGAAAAGCCTTCGCTCAGGTAGAGAACAACCAGTTTGAAGGAATAATCCCCAGGCATGAATCGACGCAGCTTGAAAGAGCCGTCTCAAAGGTTTTTCATCGCGTTTTCGTTTTTCCTATAAGGTAGTTACTGCCTATCGACCCGTTGAGCGCGTTTTAGGGTTCTTCAATTGAAATTTCTTTGAGTATAAGGGACTGGCAAAGGCGAACGCGGAGTATTAACTTTCAGACGTTATAGAAACAACAGTTCAAACGAAGTTAACTTAAATCATCAACGACTATAACAGAAATTTCATCTCTCTACACGGTGGGTAACGGATTAGATATAGCCTCGGTAATAACAATTGCTTTCTTCATAATAGCTAGGGGACCCGGCTTTTATTAACACGAGTAGCAGATTGAAGTCAAAGTTCATTTAATTTTTGAATTCGGCTTCATTATAATTACACTTGGTGCCCATTTGTCAAACAGCGACCGTCAAGGCAATACACAATATGGGCTGTCCGTCTGAGCAAATATTGACTACTCGTAGTACGTTTTTTTCTGGCCATGATACTTTTTTCACACTTTACAGCTTCTTAAAGATAAGGCTGACAGACGCCTTATCTCTGAACGCGGTATCGTTCAAAACGAATAGGTTTAAAAAACATAACTGGAAGGACGCTGTTCACTGGGCCTTAGATATTTTCTAGAGACGCCTTTTCAACTATAGAGAAACACATTTATACAGCAAACTCACAAGGACATACGCACACACACGTACGCAGGGTACATAATTTAATGTAACGCGATGATTATGTTCCCATCTACATATCGATTCATCAATTCATTAATTGATGCTCCGCATAGGGATCGTTAATTTTGAAAAGTCATTCACTCATAGCAGCCGTTCGTCGTTCAAGCCTCTCCCTGAGAGCTCTTAAACTTTGTCGCTGCGATCTAATTTCATCATCGTTGTAGCGTTTCTCTCGTTATCCCCTTCATCACCCTCCTTCTCCTCTTCCCCCTCCTGCTCCGCTGTTACCGAACCCCCCGAACAAATCAACGAGTTCAAGCGAGTAGTGGCCACGGTCGCATCGTCGTCTCGGGCATATCAGCCACTAGTGGCTGGTCGTCTAGGGGTTGTCATTGCTTGCTTTCCCTGGAACTGTGAAATACCGAGCTGCCTCGCGGGTGCAATTGCTCGCTCTATTCGAGCGACTTCTTGATCTACAGCGCAGAGCAGGCACGATCATGATCCTCATGGTGACGATGATGATGTCGGCGGTGTTTCGTCGCTGATGTCCTGTGCCGCGCTCACCGATCGCTGCTCTGCCTATCATTGTAGAGTGCGACAGAGCAGCCGGGGCAGAGGGCTATTTTAATGAGCCCATAAAGGCGCGGCCCTGGATCGCAGTAAGTGACAGCTTGTGTTTACTTTATGAATAAGAGTGAACGATCGAGGTGCAGCGGTAACACGAACAACGAAGGAGGCTATCCGCTATGGCCGCTTCCGCTCTTAAACCCAGGCGCTGTTACATAAAGTGCCTGCCTTTGCTTTAAAGCTATCAACAATTCAGCTCGACGATTACGAGTATGACTACGAGATAGCAACTATTGAAATTTGACTTTGCGCGGGCTTGTGCAAAAGGCAAGACAAGGAAAGGAGTCGAGCAATCATTGTTATCATTGCCCAAGCTGCGAACGTGCGTGACTGCATGCTTGAGTATTTATTTGTGTGGTCCTTATTACGTTCACGGCGTATGTTACAACATACTTCTACATTGCAAACAGGACAAAGCGTGTCCTGAATGACGAAACGATCTGCGGTCTATATGCTGGTCGTGTTTCTCTATGAACTGAATAGTTATTTATGATATTAATCGTATCATGCCCAATCTAATAGTTTATATTGACTTGAAACACGCATTTTCAAGTGCGAAAGCCATTAGATTAACTGGGTGCTATCTGTTAAGCAGGTTATAACGAGCACTTTTAGTGACTGGTTGATTTCCTACACGTGTTGTTCGATACGGAAATATAATACGCATGATGCACGACGGCGACGTGTTTACGACGTACGCTGTCGTGCATACACAAAGGCGATTTAGTTCTGCTCTATCCATCCACTCGTTCATTCGTTGCTTCAAGTGGTGTAGTGCACAGAAACGAACGATATAAAGCCATTGTAGTGAAGAATGACTCAATGCGCGGTGATAGCGAAATGTGGCGGTTAACAGTGACCTTTGGAAACAACAATTTTTTGCTGAGTCGTCGCGACCATTCTGTCACTCGCTCATAAGCACGCTCTCGTATGAACATATGGCACTCCATGCGTCCCATCCAGTGGGCCTTAATAGTAGGCGCATGTAGGCAACAATCCACCCCCAACCAACGTAGCCGCTCAAAGCCCTGTTGCCCTGTCTCTTGTGTATGCGAGGCAAACTGCTGCGCGATCTGGTCCGGTCTAGCGCCGTTCCGCTGTGAATGCAAGTGGAGGGAACGTGGCTGTCTGCTCGATGAATAGTTACACTTTACTAGTATTATTATTAGTGAGCAGAGCAACAGAAGCTGGACGGCTGCTCGCCTGCGTCAGCCACTTTGATGGTTTTGGAGGGAAACAAGAACGAAGCGAGCAACGAAAAGCGCTCTGTCGCAGAAGAAGTACAGACAAGCTGAATCTAGCCCGTTGTAGCGCATCACCATAATATTGTCGAGACGCCATCGACAAAGACCGGTGCGACTACAATTGCCACAATCGCCGTCGCTGCCAGCCCGTTTCATCCCCTTCAAACAAAACCCCCAGCCTTCTCATCCCGCTCTACTCGACAGCCCTGATGCCATCGTCGATGATGATAAGGTTGACAATAAGCCTTGTGTAGAGACGATGATGTTAAGCGGCACGATGATACCTGCATACACACATTCATACATACATGATGTACATGCACCTCTCCAAACCTCTTGTTGCTCGTGCTCGTTTAACGGTACGGCCACATAGTGGCGCCGATAACAACTACAACAGCATCCATATCGTAATAGAGTGAATGAGGCAGAACGTACAAGGGACTGAACGCTGCTTGTTGTATGGGCACCGCTTATTTTAGACATATCGCGGCTGATCATATGGTTTATCGCGTTCCGACAAAGAATGGGGGGGACGTTATGAGCTAGTTGTCGACAAGCAGTTATGGCGCATCTTTATTGTTTTTACTCTGCTATTGGTTGTCGCCGTCCCTTCTGTTGTTGCTGGAGCGCGAATCATTTACGACTGACGCAAAGACAGCCCTAGGTAACCATCTATAAAATTTCGACCAGTCTCACCTCGCCCTATAATTGTAAGCGAATCACGATCCGAGGAAAATCTCAATAGCACACATTCTCAGAGTTTTAAAAACTGAACCACTATATAATCTACTATTCTTAGACGTCGTCTGCTGCGACTTAAACGTCGTCGATATGGCTTGAGTCAGGCGTCATCAGCAGATAGTTATCGGATCGTAATAAAGTATTAACCGGTGATCCGAAATTCGCCATTAACCAATGTGCAATTATGTGGGCAGATGCTTTCTTCAGGATTTGTTATTGTTGCATTGTATAAAATGGCGAACGATTTTAGCGCTCCTTTACGTAAAAACATTGAGTTAGGCAGTAGCACTAACGACGCTTACTGGGACTTAGTAAATAATAGTATTTTAATTTTCTAGTAATTTCAATTGTCAAGGCTTTTTTTAATGGAAATTTCAGAATCAATTCTAAGGATTACTTTCGTTATTATTAAAGCTATTTTAAATCTTTAACTTTATTACTGATTGACACCCCCGTATCGACTTAGCAGTTAAATCGTGTCTTCCAAGACAGCTGGGAAACCGTGTGAACTGATGGTAAGCCAATGTAAAAGTAATATACGGTAATAGTAACGCCCTTGTTTGATCGTTTGTTTTTTTATCACCGTATAACACATCTGTACAAAACGATACAGAGTCGTCAATCATTATTAGCCGTTGCTACACATCCATCTGCTATACCTTTTGCTTATTACTATTCTGAGAATACTTATTGTTCCTTGGCTCCGATATACAGACATATCGTACATACGTTCATATACGTTTATATATGTAATTTTTTTTTTTTAATGTTACTTGCAGCATGTCATCCGTCCCACAATCGTAATTGCTCTTCCCGAGTTTTAGTCGCTATAGAGAGGCGGTGTCTGTCGCCGAAGAAGAACTTCGGGTCGTCCTACATTTGGTCACCGAGATGTAGTGGCATGTGGGGTGGTTTTGGCAACTCAAATGGCGATGTAGCGGTGTTTTAGCTATTGCCACCTGATGGTAGGTGGGCGGACCCACAAGCTGCGGCCAGCGGGACAGATCGCCGTTTCAGGGTCTCCCTAATATTACTTGTTATCCTCCTTGCTGTGGCCCGTTGTTGTTGGGGCAGCAAACAAGATGGCGGAGTCAAAGAGTCGCGAGGCGAATGTAAAGGACAAAAATGAGCGCGTACTCACCATCCATGTCGTGCTTTGGTTTGTCCGATACGGTCGGAATCGGTCCTCAGACAATAATTGCTATAATAATAACAAGTGTGTGTATGTCTGTGTGTACTATAATGGTGTTCTGCTCTTGGTCGCACCGGTCGCCCTGCTTAGCCCTACCCGCTGGCCGTGTTGCTGATGGTCTAGTTCTCGCGAAGCCTGGCCTTTTTCCTTCTTTCCATACTCGATGTTTCCCGTATGACGGTAGTAATAACAAACCGTAGGTCATCGCCCATGTGCTCCGCA